GCCAACCCCCGCTGGCCTGCGATCTCGGCGCTTGCGGGTCTTCATGGCGCGGGGTCGGGCTGTGGGGAGTGCGGCCTGGGGGCTCGAGACCTTCGGGGCCAGGACGCACGGGATCTGGGGTTGTGGGCTGGGACCCAGGGTCTGCGGGACGCCCATGCGACCTTGGGGAGGCCCCACCGCCCAAGCTCCTTGGTCTGGTGATCAATTCATCGCTCTCCTAGGACGCAGGCCGGTTTCCTCCTGCTCGGCCCACTTGCGGGCTTCCCACCAAGATCGTGCATCCCTCCCTCCTGTTGTCTACGCAGCACTTCATTCATTCTGTCCTAATCTCGAACCGCCACAGGCCTCTGCGGCGGAAGCTCTCGCGTTCCAGGGGGGTCCTGGACATGCAGACCCAGGGTGGGGGCGGCTTTGTTGGCAGCGGGTGTCTGCTTTGCTGAGCTGGCCGCGGCGGAGCCGCAGTGCTGTCGAACCAAGGCAAGCAGCGAAGGCTTATCTTTTCTTTTTCGGCTTCAATCTGGTAATGAAGTGTCCGGGTTTCTTACAGTTTTCTACATCATCAAGCCACGTGTTTTGTACCACTTGAACCTAAAATAAGACCCTTTGTGCCCTATAATTCTCTATAAGTGGACCAGAATGTTATGGCTATTTGTACAGTTTCTTTTGGTTTAATTTCCAAACCAAGATAAAGTTACCGACAGAACTGTGAATTCCTTTTAAAAACGGGCAGGCCCAGTTTTTTCTTCTAGTAAGCGAGAGCAAACGTTTTTCTCAAGGAGTAAAAAACTCAAGGGTTGCTTTTTGCTTTAAGTGTAACATTGTCCTCTTCAGTCCATCATTGTGTCCTTTCATCTGAACTTGGCAGTATCATTATCTGCATTTTACAGATGACGACACTGAGGCTCAAAGAAATGGGGCAGTGTCTCCCATGCCACTTGGTTACTAGGTGGCTGAGTTTTGGGAACCCCAGTCAGATGTGATTGATGCATCTGGGGGAGGGTGCTGACTCCCAGTGTGTCTCACTGTGTGCTGGACTGACATGCAAACCTTTCCTAGTGTGAAAGGCTGGAGGTGCAGTCTCTTGCCTTGGGGTGAAGCCATTCACTGGTAGGGATGCCCGCTGTGGGCACTGGTGAGCCCAGGCTTGCAGGCCAGGCTCACCGCCGTCACTCAGCTCTCCACATCTCCCTCCATAGGATGTCCATGAGGACCACGATACCTCCACCGAGAATGCAGACGAGTCCAACCACGATCCTCAGTTTGAGCCTATAGTTTCTCTTCCTGAACAAGAAATTAAAACGCTGGAAGAAGATGAAGAGGAGCTTTTCAAAATGTAAGTAACTGATGTTGTCTCAGAAATAGGTATCTTTAAGGTGGAATTTGTGCTTTTTTATGAAAAGGTGCCAGGGTCTTGGCCTTACCTTTAACTGGACTGAGGCTGAAGAAAGGGCCTGGAATTGTGTAATGACCAATCAAGGCTGCTGTTACAACCCACCAATTACAAATTTATTACTGGGTGCCCCTGCTGCTCTGTAGAGGGCACAGGCACTTCCTGGTGTCCTGTTGCTACTCCTCTGTCCACAAAGGTGCATCTCCCCATGCCCTGCTGACTCCCACAGCCCCTTTCCCCCCATTGAGTAGGGATTCTCTACCAGTATTATTGTCTTTTATTATTATTGTTGTCATTATTCCCATGCCCTGCCGACCAATTCCCATAACCCCTTTCTCCTGGTTGAGCAGGGATTCTCTACCAGTATTGTTATCTTTTTATTATTATTTTGCACATGGATTTTGGCAATTTGAAGCTTATAAATCCCTGATTCATTGTTGTTTTTAATCACCCGAGGATATTTTTTCCATTGCTTTTTAGTGAAAGTGGAAGGGGGAGAGAGAGGGAGAAAGAAACATCAATGTGAGAGAGCCACATTGATTGGTTGCCTCCCATACGTGTCCTTACCAGGGCAGGGGATCGAGCCTGCAACTGAGGTACCTGCCCTTGGACAGAATTGAACCCTGGAACCCTTCAGTCCATGGGCTGACACTCTCACCACTAAGTAAACCAACTAGGGCCTGATTCATTGTTTTTAATGCACAAAATAATGCCTGGAATTACAAAAGAAAGTGGGTGGTGTTATAGTTACTGAGATTACTTTTTTTTTTTTTTTTAAATATGTCTTTATTGGTTTCAGAGAGAGGAAAGGAGAGGGAGAGAGAGAGACAGAAACATCAATGATGAGAGAGTCATTGATCAAGCCCGCAACCCGGGCATGTGCTCTGACCAGGAATCGAACCCCAATCGCCTGGATCCCAGGTCGATGCTCAACCGCTGAGCCACGCCCCGCCGGGCCTGAGATTACTTTTTAAAAATTACCCTGAATGTGCTTCTCAGCACCTTCAAGCTACAAGGCTGGTAGTTTTTTGGGGGGAGGTGTCAGTGTTGTTTTGAAGCAGTGCCTATACTAGCAGTGTGTTGTCGAGATGTCTGTGACAAAGTGTGACCTGTGGCCTATTGGGTACACTCAGAGTTGCAGTTACTGGGAATAGGGTGTAGTGTTTCCCCTATCCAAGTTTGTGGAACTCCCCTGCCCCCTTCAAACCTATCCAAGATACTGGGTTATGGTTTTAGCGCTTTGCTTTGGGTGGGGGCAGGGAACAGAGGCAGTTGCCAACACTGGGACCCCTCCCTTTAAGGAAGGGAGCCTGGCGATACCAGCTCCCCACAACTCCTAAGGGCCTGGGAAAGGAGAGGTGAATGTGCCCCTCTGGTTTCAGAAGGTGGTGGGTGTCTCCCTGAAGACACTGGTTCTCCAAGTCTCTGCTCTGCCCAGAAGTGATGCTGCAGTCGGGGGCTGGCTCTTCTGAAGAGTGAGGACTGCCCGTGGTGCTATTGCTGTCACCTCCTTGTCCCTGCTGGTATGGGAGGTACTCTTGGTGTCCTAGACACAGGCCCGTCCTGAGGGAAGTGAGGCAAACAAGTCTGGCCTTTGTATCTGCGCCCTTAGGGCTCTAGGTCAAAGCCCTGGGGGCATCCTTGTGAGAACATGGTCTTCCTTAGAATTGAGTTTGGGGGAGAGAGCAGAGTGTTCTGCAGAAGAGGAACCAGCAGAGCTGGGGTCCGGTGGGGAAGCAAAAGGGCAGATGTGGTTGGTGGTGATGGGAGGATATTGTCCTGAGCCCTAAGGCAGGACTGCTGGGCTCAGGGCTAGGGTGGAGGCCTTGCCTGGGTCCAGTGTGAGGTGCTGTTTTGGGCAGGAAGGCAGGGTATTGGGCCAAAGCCTGGTGGCCTGTTGGGGGCCTGGGAGGCACAGGGGGCATCTCACAGCTGAGGGAAGGGTTGGCCCTGTGGAGGGCAAGGGTCCTTGGCCTCTACCTACTTCCATGCTGACCCTGTGGCGCTTATGGGGCACCAGGAAGCCCTGCACGGTGCTCACAGACACGCTCAGCAGACTTGGGTGAGCTACTTTACTGGGGGATCAGGTCTTTCTGTTAGAAAACATTGTGACTAGAAATCTTTTATTCTTTCTTATCATCAAGTTAAAACTTGAAATTTGCATTTTTGCTTTTTTGGTGACATTTTGGCTTGTAGTTCTTGGAGTACAAAGAAAGAAAAGGGTATATATTGAGACATCAGGTACAGACGTTTGTTTAACGCCGAGAAAAGGAGTGCTTTTCCCATCAAGTGTTTTTGACTTACCTGTTACAGTTTCTGTGTGTCTGAGCTCTCGCTTAATGGTTTTTCTTGAAGGCGGGCAAAGCTGTTCCGATTTGCTTCAGAGAATGATCTCCCAGAATGGAAGGAACGAGGTACCGGTGACGTCAAGCTCCTGAAGCATAAGGAAAAAGGGACCATCCGCCTCCTCATGAGGAGGGACAAGACCTTGAAGATATGCGCCAACCACTATAGTAGGTGTCCTGTCGGGCATGTGTTTTCATTCTGAGTCCCAACATTGCATTGGGACAGCTTCCGACCTTTGAGCAGCCTGCTTTCAGGGCTGTGCTGGGAACCCAGGAGTGTACTGTTACATGAGTGCACGTTCACAGTGTGTTTTTGTTTTTTTTTTAATTTAAAATAGGAAATGAGGTTTTCCAACGTGCCTCAGAACTCAGAGCAGACCTGCAGAGAAGCTTATAGCCCACGGGGGTGTGGAGACGGGGCAGGTGGGACCAAGCGGGATGGAGGCAGAGCCCCAGTGTGGCCTCGGAACCAGGCTCAGCCTAAGGGCGTGTGAGTGCGTTTGTGTGTGTGCTCATGTGCATCTGTGTGAAGTGCCTGGCGCAGGCTTCCCACCCTTTGGTGTGTTCTGTCCCCATATGGTGTCCCCTGGGGAGGACACGGGATTGGAATGGGGTGGGGAGAAGGTGCTGCCTCATCCTTAGGCCCTGTGCAGCTTCATAGGAGTGGGTGGGACGGGTGGAAGCCCTTGGGCACGTGTGATTTGTTAGCCCTGGGCTCAGTGGGGTGGGGTTTTTTAGGATTAGCCACATAAGGCTTGGTCTGTAAAGAGGTGACAGTAAGTTCTAAGCTCTGGGCCACATGACTGCTGGCCTGTTGTGCAGTGCTCTGAGTATGTATGTCTTCAGAAGCCAGTGTGTCCTGGGTTCTGTTCCTGATCCAGGGCTGTGCTGCATTTCTGGGTGTAATGTGTGTCTGACAGGGCATGACCCCTCATCGGTGCTCATGGGGTAACTGCTGGCCCTTGAGGGTGATGGAGGAGGGTCCTCCTTGTACCACAATTGCTTCTGCCCCATTTGGCCTCTGTGCTCCAGTGTTCACATCCCAGCCTGTCTTCTCTGCCCTAGTCCTTGCCTGCCAGCCCAATTTGGATTGCTTCCTCAGTGTTCTTCCTGACATCTGAGCTCTTTGGGCCTGGTGCTCACCATAGGCCCTTGATGGCCCAGGTGTTCGAAGGTGGGAGAAGGCTGCACATGCCCCGTACAGCACACAGGCTTGCTTGTTTTCTGAGTGGAGGTTGGGTGATGATGATGTGTTGCCTAGGGCTGGGCATGGGCTGTCCTACATCCCCAGAGACCTCTGCCACTGGTGTACTGCTGGGCATGGCACTGGGGGTTTTTCTGTTCTTTGGGGGAGCTGGTCTCCCTTCCCCCCCTTGGGTCTGCATAGAGCCTTGAGGAGATGGGGCAGATTTGCTTATTCCAGGCCATGGCCATGTCTTCTGTGGCATGTGATGATGTCACAAGCCTCTCAGTGCCCATTTCTGGTAGCCTTGTTCCTCCTCTCTGGTCTCCCTGGGCAGTATATGGCTGAGATTGGTTGTGTTGGTCTGACTTTGCACCTTTCAGAGTGATCATCCCACTTTTCAGCTTCTGGCCCTCTGCTGACCCCCACCTCCCAATGGGTCAGGTCCCCAGGGGTGCTGCCAATGTGGCCACAGCCATGTGATGGATGCCCTTCACGAGAAGGGCTGGGTCTGCTTGTCATCTTGCCCACATCTGTCCTGGGCCTGGGGGTTGCACCAAGGGGCTGGGTGTGATTGGCTGCGTTGGCTTTGAATCCCTTGTCTACACTGGGATTGGAGACCCTCACCAAGGTATCCTCATTGTCAGGGAGCAGGCCAGCCTATTCCCAGATTTAGGCTGTTCCTGGTTTTAAGTGAACATGGGGCATTTTAAAAGAGGTTTTGGTAAATTCCAGATTGCCCCAAATCATCCCTGTTTTGCTCAAAATAGGACCCTGGGTTGGTCTCCAGGACCACAGTTCTGTGGTGGCATGGCCCGGGGTGGTAAGTTGGCGGTGTGGCTGTGGGCATTGTTCTCATGGGGCTTCTCCCCCAGTTACGCCAATGATGGAGCTGAAGCCAAACGCAGGCAGTGACCGTGCCTGGGTCTGGAACACCCACGCTGACTTTGCTGATGAGCGCCCCAAGCCGGAGCTGCTGGCCATTCGCTTCCTCAACGCTGAAAGTAAGCTGAAGGGTGGGTGGGCCGCTGGACTGGCCTGAGTGCTGCCACCTATTTTATAATGTAGCCATTTCATCGCAAACAGAAACACTATTGCTTTTCAGGGAGAATTGGTAGTAATTGGGAGGCTGTGGTGGGGACTGTTACTGCCTTGCTTTCTGTCTGAGAGCCCCTCAAGGAAGGGATCTAAGTGCAGCCAATCCATGTGCCTTCAAGGCCACTCCCAGACTGAATCCAGGAGCAGTGCCTTTCTGTCTTAACCTCAAAGGAGGCTGCACCAGCTGGTTTCCCCTCACCATCACCTGGGTGCCAGCAGGGGCTGTGCTGAGATCCATAAGCCCAGGCTGATGTCTCTCCTGCTTGGGTGTCTTTCCAGCCTAGATTATCAAAAGCTGTGCCCAGTGGGCCATGGAGAAGTTGGGTGGGTGCTGGGGCAAAGCGACCTAGTAGCTCACCATCCAATGCTGAGTGGACCTTGCCTCTGCTCTAAAAATGGGGCCTGTCTAGCGGCTACTTCCAACGTGAGTGGAAGGCAGAGTACCTGGTGAGGAGGCCCCTGGTGCTCCGTTGCATGAGGCCACCATACTGTGCTGCTGTGCCCAAATTGTTACAAGGTCAGTTAGAAGGAGACGGCCCAGCATAGCCACCAGCCTTGGGAGGGATCCGAGAAACAGTCACTGCACAGTTTGGGCAAAGTGGGCCCAGTGTCGTTAGACAGCTCAGCTTGTCTTTAGGCCAGAATAGCCATGGACGGGTCCTTTATGAGTCCTGGCTCTTCAGACTTGCTGGACTTGCCCCCTTCCCTGTTTAGGGTTCTGAGGAAGTCTCTCTTTTTTCCACAGATGCACAGAAATTCAAGACAAAATTTGAAGAATGCAGAAAAGAGATCGAAGAGAGAGAAAAGAAAGGTAACATGGTGTTCATGGATGGGGGGATCTCCTTGCAGACTCACTCTGCACCTGGCTGCAGTCCCAGTCGGATGCTTTTTTTGTCTGCCACAGGAACTTTCCAGGGTACTGTGACTACTTTGACTTGTCAAGGGTGATGCAGCTGCCTGGGGACACAGTGCTTTCTGGGGAGTGAGCTGGCCATCCAAGCCCCAGTGGATGCTCACTGGCCTGGCCTCAGGGCGCTTTGGGCAGGTGGTCAAGTCACGATGTCTGACTAGAGCCCTACAGAGACTGAATGGGTTTTGAGAGGGCCTCATGGTCATCTGCTTATTCAGGGCCTGATAATGGCTGCCATAGCAAGTGACCAAACATAACTGAGCAGACTGACTGAGGTCCCAGGTTTATTTGGGCGACTCCAGAAGTATATGGTAGAACAGCAGCCTGTCCTGTGGGGAGTGTCCCAGGCTCACATGAGATAGGTGCACCTGGCTACATTATAGGCTGGGGAGAATGGTGCTTCTGTTTTCTTACTGTGTTCCCTGTGTTTTAGGAGGATTGGGCAAAAACAATAATGCCGAGAAAGTGGCTGAAAAGCTAGAAGCTCTTTCGGTGGAGGAGAGCAAGGAGTCCGAAGACGAGACCAAGGAGAAAGCTGAGGAGAAGCAATAAGTCCTCTGCCCTTGTTTTCTGTTCCTTCCTTTTCCTTTTTTAAAATTTTGCCCTGCCCCTTTTCGGTTTGTTTTTATTCGGTTTTGTTTTTACAAGGGACTTTATATAAAAAACTGAATTCCAACATTCAGGTGTTTTTTTCTAAGTTTTTGCCCTATTGAAGATGACTTCAGAAAAACCCATTCCCCAGTCATGAAAATGTACTGTGCTAACTTTCTTTTCCATAGTGGAAACGCTTATTTATAGTCATCAAAAATAGTCAATAAACAACTCTGGAAACCTTTGCGGAGGGCAGGGCCTTGTGTGCGTCGTCCCTGTCCTGGCAGCTGTGTGCTTTTCTCCTGGCTCCAGGGTGTTGGGGTGGCACTCTGGGTCTGACCCCGCTTGTCATATTTGTTCTGTCTTGGGCTTTGGGCCGCTATTGGTCACTGGGCTATGGCATGTCTGAGCAGGTGGTAGTGGGCAGCTGGGCTTGAGGAGACTGGTGCTGGATGCTCAGCCTCCTGAAGACCTCATGTGCCTTTGTCCTGTGATGAGTAGGTAGGATTTTTATTTATTTTTAATTTTTTTTTGCCTTTGGGGAAGAGAAAGGCAGATCAGATTCCTTGGCTTTGGTACAAGGCTGTCTTTGCAGGTCTCCAGGCTTTGGCCAAGGCTGTCTTTGGTTGGCCCTCACCAGGAAAAGGCCAGTCCCATAGCACACACATGCAGTCTGTTGCAGTGCGTAGACGGCTTGGCCCCACCACTATCGTCAGAGAAAACCATATTGTCTACTTGTTCCCGGCATCTCCATCTGGGTGGAATCATGGACATTGCAATAGTGTGCGGGCAGGCTTTTGAAAGCACATAGTCTCACCTATGATGGTGTGTTCCTGGAGAGATAACCCGGCCTCTGAGGAGCTTTGGCCTCCCCACCCTTGAGGGGAGGAGCCAGTTGGGAAAATCCAGAGTGGATATGCTTATACCTCCTGTGTCTGTTTGCCTTTAACACCTACCAAAGGTATTTTACAGTGTGACTAAGTCAACTAGCTGGGTCCTGTGTGTCCTCTGATGTTTGTCCAGTTTAAACTTTCTGTCCTTGGTCACTCTGGGAGATGCTTCTCCAAAGGAAGCCACACTTGTTTTAAAACCAAAGACTTCACTGGCCAGCTTTGTTGTTTCCTGGCAGCCTTAGGTCACAGGGTACAGGTCAGCATTGGTGCAGGGGTTTTTCATATTTATGTCTTTATTGATTTCAGAGAGAGGAAGGGAGAGATAGAAACATCAATTGAGTCATTGATCTGCTGCCTCCTGCATGCCCCCCACTGGGGACTGGGCCCGCAATCCAGGCATGTGCCCTGACTGGGAATCAAAGTGCAATCTCCTAGATCCTAGGTGGATGCTCAACTGCTGAGCCACACCACCTGGGCTGTGCAGTGTTTTTCCCACCCAAGGAGGGACATTGAAGCCTGTGCACCTCACCCCTTTTGAATTGGAATTGTGATGCTGTAAAGGGCATAGTCCCCTGTGAGGCCTCTTTTGGATGCATTGTATGGAAGGTCCCAGGGGCTTGATCCTCTAGGGAAGGGTGGTCAGACACGCCTTTCAGCACAGAATGGATGTTTAACATTGTTTTGGGCTCCAATAAAAAGTAACTCCCCACTTGATGTAAAACCCCAGTCTGACTTCTTGGGCGAGGAGATGTATCTGCAAGCAGGGAAGGTCCCTCAATTGCTGGAGGACAATTGCTGTGACCAGGGTGCATTCAAAGATGCGGCTGTTACTGCAGAACATGCTGCAGAGGAAGATGTGCAAGTGCGAGCAAGGCGCCAGTAAGGGCTCCTTTAATGCCCTCGCTCCCTGCCGGTGTATTTTCAGGTGGGCTCTTGTGCAGAGGTGATAAACCAGAATTGAGGTGCTAACAGTACTGGGAAAGAGATGAGATGACCTACAATCTTTTCCTGTGGGTGGGAAGGGGGCTTGGGAAAATTGCTTTCCTCTCCCTGGGATCTTAACTCCTTGGGTAGAGTATTTCTGGGCTGTGGCCTCATTGGGTCTCCCCAACCCGGGACCCCCTCTGCCCAGGCAGTGTGCAGGGACCTCAGCAAAGAGGCATGAGCCCTTTCTATGACCACCCATTTGGCACTCCATAATTCTCAGTTGTCCTGGCACCCCTACACACAGCAGGGCCCTGCAGTGGGTGAGTCGGGAGGAGCCTTTCTTGGTGTGTGGGCCTGTGTCCAGGCCCTGTTAGTTACCAGAGGCTGGGGGCAGGGGGTGGGGAGTGGGTGGCAGGCAGCATTTCATGTACCCGGCTGCAGAAGGGCAAGTACAAGGAAGATGTAAAGCTGTGGTGGGGCACAATTTGGCTGGAGTGGTGTCCCTGTCCCGAGAGCCTGTTTATATTAGGCCACCATAGGGCTATGGCATCTCAGCCTTGAGGAGGGGTCTGCTCCAGGTGGGGTCTGTTTTTTGTCCACCTTTGCACCCTGAATCTACCCCGCTGCCCCAGACCCCCTCTTACAGCTAGTCCCCCATGGGCTGGGCCTCCTGGACCAGGCAGAGGCTACAACTGGGTTTTGTGGGAGAAAGCAGATCACCATATCTGCTGTCAAGCTTCATGAACGCGGCGGTCTGGCCCCCATCCAGGGTTCCTTAATTGCAGCCTGCAGCCTTCGGGGCTGGGACCTTAAGAAGGTCCACCTACCGGCAAGGAGGGGCCTCTAGGCCAAGGAGCCCCAGGGCCTGTGTCAGCGTGGCCTGAGAAGGTGGCCGCTGTGCGGAGCAGGGCCTTGGAGAGAGACATTTAGTGCTCCCTGGGGAGCCTGTGGAGCTTGATCTAGGTCCCAACCTTCCAGAAGCGCTGCACCCACTGCCCAGATGGTCCTGCCCGCCCCGCGCAGGCTCTGCGAGGCCGCCGGTCCACCTTAAACGGCATCGGCGCAGGCGGGGGGGATTTCCTGCTGGAGGTGGGCCTGACCACGGGCCTATCCCACGCAGGGGCAGGGTGCCCGGTGCTTCCTGAGGGGTGCTCCACCCTGCCCCGGGGAGGCTGAGGGACTTGCCTGGCCCTGGGCCCTTTACCCACCTACACTCCCAAGCCTGCAGCTTGGGCCAGGATGTGGAGAGACCAACTCCCCCTGCCATTACCCTGCTCACTAGCTGTGCTCCTCCAGCCGAGTGGCCCAAGGGCTGTGAGGTGGGAAGGGGATAAACAACCAAGGTGCCCCCGCAGTGTCACAACTCCCAACCCCCTCGTGAATGCCAGAGTGGGGGGAGCTCCAGATGAGAGGGGTCTGGCACTATCAAGAATGGCATGGAGTAGGGGCATAAGCCTGCCCGCAGGGACACGCTATTCCGAGGTGTTTAGGGGAGCGGTCTGCAGAGGCCCAAAAGGGGACTGACGTGCCACAGCGCCAGGGCCCGCGGGCTGGAAACGGGGTGCCTGCTTTCCTCTAGGGTGTCCACCTGGTGGGCATGGCCTGCAGGTGTGCTACGGCTCCGTGGCTTCAGAGAGCCGCGAGCAATCGCCGGGCTGGGCACCAAGGAGAGGAGAGGCCCCCTTTCGGAGGGTCGTGAGCGCCGCGCAGGAAGCCGACCAGGCTCTACTGCGCGCGCGCGCAGGACCGGGGCCTTGGGGGTCCGAGGCTTGGGTGGGCTCCTGCATCCAGCATCCGAAAGAGGGCGTGGTGCGGCGGGCGCGTCCTCCTTGGGCCTTTGGCCCCGCCCCTT